TGATTTTCCTAATCCATTATACTTGACCTTTGGATGCCCATGAAATTTCTCGAATCCTTCTTAAGATTGATCAATTCAAATTGCTGATAGCTAGGATACATTTGGCTCACTGATGAATTTTCCAACTACAAGCAGTTCGTTATCATGACCTGGAGAGCTAACAGCTTCCTTCCTACGCTCGAGTCAATACTCTTCCGGCCCACCAACACCACCAACTTACTCAAAGAGATGTTTAAAGGCAATATCTCCCGGGCTACTGATGACTTTCGTCACTTGCCTGAGTAACAGTGCATTGAGCTGTAAGGAGAAATTGCATGTCGATCTACTTTTCATACAATTATCCTCTTCAGTTGGACGTTTATCTTTATTCAGTATTACATATATCGTTGACCTCACTATCAGTTACAAGTCAATTGCTCACTGTCGAGATGGTCTTCCCGGTTTCAATTCCGCTTTTAGGATTAAGACTAAGTCGTGACACCGAATAACAAATGTGGGTTCTTGCATTTAAGTTTAGACTGCTGGGGCTGACAGACAGGAGAATTTTCGGGGTAAGCATTCTGATCTGTATTCTCTCCCACTCCTCTTCAAGCACTCCGACCCGACAGTATGTCGGCAAAACAAGCAGTGGAACGAAAAGAACAGAGGATTTACAAGGGGCTAAATACCTTTACACTATCTTCGATGATACTTTTAGAAAGTTCAATCAAAATGTCGAGTGCTTTATCCAAGGAGATTTGAGTTGAGCTGAAGTACGATCCGGTTTTGTTTCCAGGAGGAAATGTTTAAGGCCATGGCGTTGCAACCTTTTTACTTTGAATACCGTGCTCGCGTTGAAGATTTTACCTTTTTAGTCCTTTTAGTGTAATATGGAGCAATCCTTTATGACGGTACCATATTTTTATTTTATTTGCTTTACAATTATCATTAACGATGTAGAAAACAGAGAAACTATTTCGATTAACAAGCAGCATGTCCTCCGAAAATAACTGCGACTGCACCCCCCGGAATCTTATCAAGGAACACTGAAGTCGGCAAATCATATAACATTCCATAGATCAGATATTGTCAAGTGATGTTATGAAATTTGGAGGTATTTTAATGTGAGCGTGGGCAGGAAAGTTTCAATGATTGGTCTTATCTCTGTCCGATTTTAAGTAGCACGGCAGTCTTTGTTCTACTCTGTATGACTCCACAGTTTACCTGATGATGATTTTTTAAAGGAACAATTAAGAGAGGGATATTAGGAACATGTGTTGCTATTGACGCAAAAATGACGTGTTCGTAATCTCTTGACAGTTCCCACTTCTCCTTTCGACGGATTAGAGGGCAAAGTGTCTCCGTTCTGTGCAACTGTTGGGACTAGATACACGTTACAATCACGCTCTTAGATTCGACAAAACCAAGCAGTTGTTCCTGGCTAAGGGTGATTCCTAATCTGCAAAGCAACCGGAGAAGTCTTCAGAGATTTAAAACATCACTGATAGGTATGCAGCGCGGCTATGTGTAAACACAGTTTAATGTTTATTTGTTTATTCTTCACAGTTTAACGGCAGAGTCCTCATGTTAAGATTATATTTAAAGTGTTTTCTTTCCGTGATCGACGTTTACACTGCTAGAGGATGAACCGTTGGACTGACTTTCGCTCGGGTTGTATTGCGTTTGAGATTTACTCAGTGAAATTTTACCCCTCGTGAAGGTCATTATGCCATTTATAAAGCCAAACTTGACTTCTAGCCTTCTCCTAAAAGCGTCAGTCGTGAATATCATAATAATGATTGAATAAATCGAGGATTTCTCAATCCTTTTGTGATAAAACACCCGGTTAAAAAATTATCGAGATAACGCCTGACATGAATGAAACGGGTTTTAGCAATAACTGGCTGGTCCAACTTTTGACTTTGGGAAATACTTTGCCACAGGTTAGCGACGTTTGTTGCTTTTAACATTTTGTACCTAGTCATAGCTCGCCGTGAATGTATTCTGTTTCTAAATTGTAATTAGTTAGTCATGGTTGATATTCTTAGACCGCGGTACCAGCAGCATTCTGATGTAGACAATCAATGGAAACGTTTAAGGGGGCGGTATCTACTTAACTCCCTTGGGTGCAGCCAGATCTAACACGATGCTTATGATCTGAGCTGCTGAGCCGGGTGCGTGCAATGTTCAGAGGGATCAGACCGTTATAAATAGTACATTTGTAGCCGAATCACTTGTACATTGTAAATCGGCGATGAAATGCTCTCTCGTGGAGATCTCAGAGTGAGTTTTCCGTCATAGATTCTCCAAGCAGATTAAACTGAGTCTCCAGTGTCAGCAAATGATGTAAAACAGGGCTGGCTGTTGGTGAGACATCCCCGATCAGACTTCAGATAAGGAGCCCTACTCCGACTGCGATTTTATTTATCCCTGTCAATGAAAAAAAGAAAATAAGTAAACCCTATAAAAGGATTAAGGTTAATTTGTTTTAGTGTGCCAGGCTCTCTATCCAATTAACAGTGATTTCTTCGTTTCCGCCTGCATTTGGTGGTCATTGGCTGCAGATAAAAACCATTTTAGTTTAGAGGGAGGGAATTTGCAAAGTGACGATGAAAAAATAACACCTGGCCGCGGCGGATCGAAAGAGCAGATCGAGTAGACAACACACCGAACACAGCCGAACATAAATGTACCAGCTTAACACAGTGATCTGATCACAGCTAAAACGTCCGTCACAAAGGTGAAAATTTATCCTTAAACGTTTGTTATTGTTCCCGCCGCCACAGTCAAAGGCATCTTACTCACAACCGACCCTGTAAACCAAAACAATTCATGGTGCGATAGTTTAGTCGCGTCTAATTTTCCTGTTTCTGTGACCCTCATTTGATTGTCTCGTATAAAATATTAAGACCCTGCAGAAAGGTTGAGTGCGAACTTCACACAATTATTAAAATTTTCGCTAAAATCTACACTTTGAAAAAACGCTTTTGATATTTGCATGCGCAATTATCACCGTTTCAATGCCATAAACCATATGTTTTTTGATTGCGTTTTTCTTTCGACAAGTCTGTGTTTGACTATTCCTTCTGTTTGTCAACTGGATTTTTGAGACGGAGTTAACCTGGCTTGGACTTCCTCGTGGTAGAACAGAGGATTGTGCAAGCAGTAACCGAGTGAGAACTTTATCACGCCTTATGTAAACACTTCACAGTCTCGCCTGTTCCCTTTCGTACATCCGGCCAAACCTTTGTGATTTGTGTTCCTCGAAATAGCAACTAGTAAGGTTTAAATACAGGCGTTTAGTGTATGTTTGTGAAACTCTTTAAAGAAGTCTACTATAGTTAGGCGAAACGCATCAGAGAATAAACAAGTACAACAACTCGGCTCCGTCCACACTACGCCGGAGAAATTTAAAAACATCAGTTGAGGAAAACTCATCCGGGAATCACACGGTTATCGTGACGTCATCGTTTTTGAAAAGTCCCGTTTTCAAAATGTTTTCCGTCCCCACTAAAACGCAAAGCCGGCGTTTTCAAGTTCCTCTGGTTTGAAGAGCGTTTTCAAAAAGCTCCGTTTTCGTGACGCATTGGTGGGGAAGGTAGGCCCAACCGTAGAAAAAAAGCTGTGTTTTCAAATTTCTCCCGCGTAGTGTAGACGTGGCCTTAGTTTGCAGAGTGCTACTCACTAGTTTAGTATTTTTTTAAAAAAATTAGAATGCGTAACAATAATAGCAGAACCGGTGAATCAATAGACCTTTTTTAGCTTGGGTGGTTTGTTTACTCCTTACAGACCACGTGATTATCTCTGGAGAATTTGTTCTTTTATCCATCTAAAAACTATTCATTCATATACAGGCGACTTCTTGAAAAGTTGAAAACGAGACATCACATGGTCTGAAATGGGGCAACAAACCACGCAAGCTAAAAAGGTCTATTGCGAAGTTAATATTGTTTTCAATATGCTGTCTAATCAGCCTCATGCCTCCGTAAATTTCAACCTGTCACATCTAAATTGTATCGATGTAAATAATCTGTCCTTTGTGTCCCCAGTTTTGCGCACATCATTACTAACCGGCAGCCACAAATCAGTACAAATGTATCGTTCAATTCCATATCATAAGACCGAGAGAATGATGTTCGAAACATGAACCTTGCGTTTCGTGTTTTGCTCGATTAGGGATGTTTGGCTGTAAATTTTAAACTGGAAGGCCTACGAGAATAGTTTTAAATTATTTATCTACTTCAGTACACTCTGTAGAGTTCGCGAGATCTTTTCCCACATTACCGTTTAAAATGAATATGTATGCCACCAAACTGCTGAGTTTTAAGCAGTTTTAGCCCTTCGGAAAAAAGACAGCTGCAAGAAAAGGGTTGAACTAAGAAACTCCCACTAACAATAAATTGGTACGCCATCAAACTCCACGACTATCACAAATGTCAGTGTTTTTAAAAATTGACTCCCGAATTTAATTAAATTTTCCATCTATTTTGACAATGTCGGAAGAGATAGTATCTTTATAATGTACCATGTCAGTTTCAGCTCACCATGTGCTTATAAAACAGCGATTTATCACTGCATATTGTCCTATCTACTTTTGATAAATGAGCGTGATATGATATCCTTTCGTTGCATTACTAATTACTCTCGCTGGCCCTGCAGTAATGACTATCTTTTTTTATTCCGTTCTTTAAATTGCCCTTTGCTATTGTTTGGTTTCGAATTTGCATAAATCACAAGTAAATTACACCAGAAAACTTACTGCTAAGTTTCTTTCCTTCAAATTTTTAGCTGGGTTTTTCTTTTTGACAGCTACCCACTAACAGTCTCTTTATTCCGAAAGTTTTTAGACGCCTGAATTTTATTTCGATTAATTAAACGAATTTTATTGCGTACTTTGACGAGCTGTCTTTCTCAATTACCTCTCTGCAGGCTACTCGTCTTCGTTCGCTAATTTTCAAACGTATTTATTCTGTCTGAGCCATGTAAGCCATTTTTTATCACAAATAATAATTGATATGCCTTCAAGCTATCTCGGCGACCAACTGATGCTTCAGTATCGTACACTGCAGTTGTCTGGAGACGCACCAAGCAACAAAGCAGCCAGTGAATCTGTCAAGAGCAACTGACAAGCGTGTTTGCTGAGGGGAACATTTATCACGGAAAACCCACGCTCTTAAATTAGTTCAGCTGCTGAAATTATTAATGAAGGTGGTAAACCTCTCATTAATCTGCCATAGTATGTTCTGCATGGTCGTGAATAAGCTCAGATTTGTCTTCCACTGATGGCGTAATTCATCGCGTCCACTGTTCTGTTTTCAGATCCAAACCACAAGAGAAGAACACTTGAAGAAGTTTTGATCAAACGTTCGAGAATTCGAGATCAGAGGCGTAAGAGGGTCCAGACGTTATCATCATGGCAACAAACAACACATCAGCTGAAGGTGCACTCCTATATGTGATTACATCAGAGTTTATACTTCTCCTCTCATGTTTTCCACGAAAATCTACATTTTTTAGCAATGTCTTAGTTTTAGTTTTGTAATAGCTAAGTTATTCGAAATCCAAGAGGAATTGGTTCTTGGTACACAATTTCCACCAAATTGGATCTGAAGATTGAAATGAGTCAGTTCGGTTTTAGTAATCTGTGCCGGGATGTTCGTTCCGCATAGAGCTGAAGGGAACAGTCGACGAAAGCGATGTTTTCTGAGACAAATCGTTTTAACAGTTTTTAAAGTGGTGTAATAGCTCTTTGTAGCTGCGTCTCTTTTGGGTTGATAGTCAGTCTTTTATTCCCGACTTAACCTTTAACATTAATTAAAACTCCATTTTTTATCTCTAAGAAAATAAGATCACAGTCAAGTGTCCCCCTAAGGCAAACTGCCTCTGATGTTTTTCAGATAAAATTCTAGTTTGCTTTAAAATATACAAGGCGTCGAGTTTGTCTAACTCCATTTGTGCCAGTGTCGCTGTGAATTAAATTTTAATTAAACTTTTGTCATGAGGTGATCAAATTATACATAAAACTACAGAATTTTTGTTCAGTTTGTTGTTCCTTGTCATTTTGTGCGGTCTAAGAGAACGAGAACTTGACGAATTTGAAAAACATTGATGTATCTCCCTATAAGTTGTGTGTATTTTTTCCATAAATTTTTTTGGTACTAAAACAAAATTAATTTCATTACCATACCCAAATTAAGCGAGCGGAGACTGTCATGTTTCTGTGAATACTCATTACAGCCAAGCTAAAAAAACTGACAAGTCTTGAATAATTGAAACCTTTCCGAGCTTTCCTATAGAATACCTCGCAATGCTAATAGGTTTGAGTAAAATGAAAAATCTTGTCGTGTTCTCCATCAAAGAAGAAAAGAAAAAACGTCCATTAGGAACATTCTTAGCAGCTGTCGATAAAAATTGTTTCCAATTCCAGTTGTCTTTGAATTCACGCTGGCTGTTTCAATAAAAACGTTTTTGTTAAATCTACTTATTATTTTGGATACTACTTATCATATTGGAAAAAGTTTCTCCTGTACATATTTTAGAGAGTGAAAGTTTCTCGAGCTCATTTCCGATATTCTTGTTAATAAAACAAGGCAATAAAGCTCGCCGACCACTATATTGATGGAAAACTAATGTTTATGGTGTTTAATTTCAACGGAACAATGTTGTTTAGTGCTAGCCACAACACATTGGAAGAGAGACAAATCAGTTTTCTAAGTTTGATATTCTTAAATTCTCAATTTCCAAACAACATTCTCAATGTTAAATTCAGTTTACTATTTTAAAAATAAACCGGCCAGGGCGAAAAGTAACATTGAAGAAGGCGTGCTAGTTAATTACTGTACAGCTGCTAATCTCAGGAGGTTAGAAATATTGATTTGATTTTTAAAATCTTCTCAGCGTTCAGTTGTCCTGCCCTGTCTTAGTTTCCAATCAATTTCCCCTTCTTTAACGCTGCTTGAACCTCGGCGAAACAATCTTCCTGATTTGTTTCGAAAGCATTTTTGTAGCTAGGTGAGCTATAGCGAAGGCCTACTGTTAATTTATACTGAATGGTGATTGGTTTAACGTCTGTCGATAGGTTGGGCAAACTCTACAGCATCAACTGTCACAGCGAGAGTTAATGACAACGCCACTGTGTGGATGACAATAGCCTATGTCGTTGTCTTTATCTTCGGTTTCTTTGGTAACGCGTGCATCATCTACATTGTAGCCTCTCATAAGAGAATGAAGAGCACCTTTAACTTCCTGATTGTTAACATGGCCATTGGAGATCTTCTTGTTTCTCTTTTTATTATGCCTTCAGAGGTGAGTAACAGATGTCAGTCAAGTTTAGCCATAAGATACAATTTTAGCCAGGCTCGTTATATGAAAACATGATTCCAAAGGCTAAGAAGCTCAATAGACCTTATCACGGTTTTCGACACCATCTTGACGGGTAGGCAAAGCGGTCAGAAATTACTGTGTTTGTATGGGATTCCGATGGCAAATAACTTTTTCCAAAATTGAATTTTACACAATTTGTGAATCGCAACGTTAAAAAACTAGCTAGAAGATAGTATTCACTAAGTTTGAAGGATGTAGCTTGGCTAAAAGACGCTCAGTTAATTTTTCTAATTTTCCATACATTTGTCTGTAAATTTTTTCCCGCGCCGCCGCGTCTACCCACTAACGAGAATTTGCCTGAGGAAGGTATTTCGATCATGACCTTAGATGTGCTGTAGGGCAGGTGAGGATATGAACTGAGTAAAAATAAGTAGGGATTTCGGTCGGGTTATTAGAAAGGTAGAGGACATCTCAGAACTAAGAAAAGGTCGAGCAGCTTGAAAGTTGTTTTTAATCGGTCTAGCAGCCACTACTTTGTCAGGTTTATCTAATTTTGACTGGAAAACACTGACATGATTCATTGTTGGCAGACTTCACTAATATGTCCATGCACCTATCTGTTCTTGTAGGTTAAATTTTTGTACGCTGGCCAGACCTGGATTTCCGGTGGGCTGGGGTCAGTCACGTGTAAGTTTGTGAATTTCTCAGGGGGTCTCTCCATCGCTGCCAGCATCATCACACTTGTGTTCATTTCGCTGGATCGCTACTTCGCGATTCTTCATCCATTTGTCGACGTCCCCGTCATTCGAAACACAAAACTAGTGACGTCCTTGATTTGGATTTCATCGTCGCTGTGTTTCTCGCTGTACCTGGTTCTCTTTGATAGCGTGCCCGCAACCGATGGTTCCCGCTGGGACTGCAGAATGGTTTGGAACTATCTGTCGAGCGACCGTAGCAAACAGTATGAAGTGGCTAGGGCCTATTTTATGACCACGTTTGTGGTGCTCTATTTGATTCCTCTTGCTATCATCGCAGGGTTGTACATTCTTATCGGTCGTCGCCTGTGGTCACGTGAGATTCCAGGAGTCACAACCGCTCATCAAAAACGTCAGAATGAATCGTCTAAGCGGAAGGTATTGCGCATGCTCATCATCGTGGTGGTTACGTTTGCTCTTTGTTGGCTGCCGACTCACATAATGCATTTGCTGGGATACTTTTTCACTGACACATATAAAGCTTTGCTTGCCTTCGGACACGTGGAAACCAGTTTTTACTTTTTGTCACACGCCAATAGTGCCATCAATCCGTGCTTTTATATTTTTCTCAACGAAAGGTTCAACCGTGAATTCAAAAACATTCTCAGATGCTGCTTCTGTCGTCCACGTAAAGAGGATATAAACTCGGTACAATCAGTTTATCAGAAGTCCTCGGCAACCGAAGGAACAATGCTCGTGCACCAACATAGGACTAGCACGTGATTAACAGTACTCACACCAGCTCACACCAAGAATTCGATGGCGTGACCAGTACCGCGTGACTTAGCAGAAGGGTTCTGTAATGTTTCGTGGTTCTGCTAATCACGTGGTAAAGTTTATCAAGTGTTACACTGTTTGTCTGAGCTTACTAGGCAGACAGAAGAAGACATGGTTCTCGTTTGCCGTTGTTGTTGACTTCTCATTGTGTTACAGCTGTGCTTCTTCGCAGCCTGCTTTCGTTTCATGTAAAAACAAGGTACGTACCCTGTCATTGCCTTCAAGAAACTTTGAAACGCAGGAGCTTTCTTTGCTGCAATGCGAGTTCTTCAGGGATGGCATCGATTCCTCTCGCCAAGTTCAAGCGCAGCGTTTGGTTTTCCGACCTTAACAGATGTTCACTGCACTGAGTCCTCTGACTGTTTTTGTCAGTTAGGTTGCTACACAGTGTAAAGTTCACACGAGAGGAAAACTTATGCATGACTAATACTTTGATTCGATAAAAAAGAGTTGGTAATCTTTTAAACCAAAAGAATTTCTCTTTTTCATGAAATGAAACTGTGTAAGTATATCATACCAGCCATTACCATTATCAAGAAATGAGAAAAGGTGGTCTTAATTTTCCAAATTTTGCCACAACAGTTAAAGCGCTCCGTTTAAGCTGGATCAGAAGACTGTTAGAAAAAAACCCTTCTACTGATGCTTGGAAAGCTATTCCAATTGCTTTTTTCGAAAAGTATGGAGGTCTCAACTTCTTACTCAAGTGCAATTACAATACAAAGAAGTTAGACAAAAGTGTATCGTTATTCTACTTAGAAATGCTAGATTACTTTAAGGAATTACGCCAGGTCAACCAAGATAGCTACGAAAGTGACCTRATTCTTTGGAATAACCAAGACATAACCATTGAAGGCAAATCGCTTTTTTGGAAGTGGTGGACCCAAAATGGAATTTATTACATTCAAGATATTTTAAATGAAAATGGTAATTTTCCTACTTTTGAAGAATTTAATCGAAGGTACAAAATGTCTGCAAATTTTTTAAACTTTTTTCAAATCCTTGCATCTATTCCACCGAACATTTGGAACATGCATTTCTGGAGTGTCCTGCTGGCCTAAACTTCTTTCAAAAAGTTCTTACATGGTTTAATAATGAGCACAGAGTTAACTTTACACCATCTAAAATACAGCTACTATTTAAGGACTATGATCTTCTCTCAAATACAAGCCCAACCCTCACCCAGAAGTTTGGGATTTTAGTAGTGCAAACTGAAAAATATTATTATTATTGCAAAATGTTGGAAAAAACTTTCAATTTTCTTGAATTGAAGTCAGCGCTATCTTTGCAATGGAAAGCTGAAAAATGCGAAATTTAAATTAATTAATTCAATTTACATTATATAATCAGTCTCAGTGGCAAAATCAGTCATTAGTGTTTTACTGCTATTGTTATAACATGAATGTAAGAAGCATCAGTAATGGTATTAGTATCGTAACTTAAAAAGGGTTAATGTATTGTTTTGTAGAGTAAATTACGCAAATTTTAGTATTGTAGGTAGCACGTGTAATTACATCGCATTGTTAATTAGAGTAAATAGTGTTAGCAGTGGTATTACTGTTGTAAATAGTTATCACTTCTGTAATTAGTAGTTGTAGTACTGTTGTAAAATAATAAAAAAAAGTAATAATATTAAGAAAAAATACCAGCCATTATGTACCAATAGTACAGTATGTAAGATAACGTAGCCGAAAATTATAAAATGGTCATTCTTGTGAAGGACTGGTGATGTCTGTCAGGCAATAGTTTGCTGTATAAGACTCAAGGACTTCCCTCATGTATGCTCACCGTACCTTAGATTTGTGCCGGACTTGTGCAAAAATAAAATATTGAGGAGATTATTTGTTAAAAATGTGCAGGCATTAAGTGAAGGAACGAGTGACACAAGCCATAGACCTTTTAGTAATAGAGGCAACCAGATCACAGCAATCAAACATAACAAGATCTTTAATTGCAGTGAACCAGTTGCCTGCCACCACGGTAGCCGCGCCGCATCAGCCATTAACTTGGTTACACCAGGTTTGATGGTAATGGCATATCATCCCTGCCCAGTGTTTGACTTTCAACAGTGTATTTAGTGTATTCGAAACAAATATGATGCCATGAACTCTTAGTGACAGTCTACCGAAAACCTTAACTTGTATTGTGCATGCCGTTACATTATTAACATGTATTTTACGTCTCGTTTAAGGTTCAGAGTAGAATCTACAACACGATACAAAAAATTGGAAAATTACCTGTATTGGCTCTACTTTCCTTCTCACATTCCCCTTATATGCTCAATGCTAAGGCCCAGGAAAAGATTTAAACTTCTATAATTTGTTCATTTAAAAACTGATAATGGCAGAAAACGAAAACTGTTAAACGCCTCGTGCGCAGCGTACTTTAAGTTCAAATTAATGCAAACTTAAGTTTATTACAAGTATACTGTATTTTTACAACCTTCCTAGCTAGTTTTCGTCATCAGTTGTAGCTAAATTTCAAATAATTAATTTAGAGTTATAATTAAATTATGGCTTCTACATTAAGACAATTACAAAAGAATTTCGAATAAATTTGTGAAGAGCGCTTTCTTATCACTGTCGAGAGAAATGCCGTTTGTTGAGCTCTGTCAGTGATTGGTCGAAAATTTTCGTTCAATTTTCTGTGACCAATGAGACTAAAGTTGTTGTTCGTCAACCAGATCACTTGCAAAACCATAAGTATTACGAGTCTGCTCACGTGAATTTATCTGATATCAGCCCTGTGTGTTATATCTGCGCTACATATGTTATGTTTTACGACAGTCATAAGAAAGTATATGTTTGGAACTTTCATGTTTTCGAAGCCGTATTATTGTATCATTGTCAAACAGATCTCGACTTTCTTCCCCTGGCGTATGTTAAATAACTGAGCGTTCAACATCCCTAAATTAAATCATTGTTAATGTCAAATAATGGGAAACGGTTTTGAACAGGCTTGGCTTTTGAAATAAGGGAAGCGACGGAATAAAAATTGTGTAATTGCTAACCTGCGATTTTCTCGCCGCGATGAAAATGAAGATGGCCTGAGCACAAGCAATCTATCTTTATCCTGATTTAGTTCACCGGGTTAAAATACTTCCAGTTAACAGGCTCTATACTCGTGTTTTTTCCCATTTATCATATTTATCTTTGGGCGGTGGTAGAGCGCTAAGATTTATTTTTAAATTTAATTTTAACCTCACGATCTTACTGAATCTCCTCACTTCCTTTCTAGACGACAATATAAAGTCGAATGTGGCTTTTAGAAAGATTTCACGCCATAAGATTTCAGTAACTCAAAACTCGATGTCTGTCCTCTAGTACCAATGAAAGTTGGAAATGTGCAAAAGAAACTGGTCATTAAAATATTTCGTTTCTTTAAAGCTTTATCTATACAGCGTCAGTTGATGTCGTACTTAGTTCATACAGGCTTTCTAATATATTTTACTCCGTAATTTCATGTAGCTCTTTGAAATCGTTACGGACTGGGTTTGGGCGGAAAATTACAGCACACTGCTTTTAAGGTGCACAGTCCTTTTCACTCCCAAGAAGAACCCTAATTGATTGAATGAAAATATCTTGGTTTTTTTTTTTTATTATTTTCTCCGTTTCTATTTCGTTTCTTATCTTTTAGAGGATGTGATGGGCTTGTATTTGGAGGACTATTGCGTCTATTAGTTAATTTACCACACTTTTCGTCTTGGTTTACAACTGGGAAAATCTAGATAATTCTAATAATCCATCATTGATATCATTACTCCATGGAGGCCGAACAAGTGTCTTTGTATCAGACCGCATAAGTCAATGTGCCAAATATTACAGACTCTGATACATGAAGCAGATTTTCGTGATCAAAAGAACTGATAATTTAATAACGCGAAAACCATCCAAAAGCCCTACCCGTTAATTTTCTCGCCGCTCTGAAAGGCGACAATTTATTTGATTTTATTTCATGATCAAAAATACAAATTCATATTTCCTTTCTTTAGTTCATTTTCACCAGGCCTGACACAAATACAGGATTGGCAACTTTTATCCTGCTTGACAAACAAACATTCGCATGTAACAATAAATAATGAAGCGAAAGTTGGATTTTCCAGTGGGAAATTCACTAAGTTACGGTTTTCCCACAGACATCGCCTCGGAACAAAAAACTATATTTGCAGAGCGTAAGCAAACACCAAAGCAATATACGAGTTTAATATATGACTCCGGAAAACCTAAGGACATATTATTCAATGGATATTTATTCCGGATTTGAATTCTGCAGCTTTTCTTACAAATTGAATCAAAGAGGCGGGTTGCGATCACATCATTCTGTTTGCTTTTCATATTAAAACAATGAAACACCTGTCTTCTTAGAACCCATAATTCAGTACAACAAGAACAAAAAAAAACTTGACAAAGTATCACGCACTAAAAACAACGCCGCTGGTTTAAGATTGCTGATAAGAAGTGCCATCTCAATTCCGTTTCGTTTTATAGAACTTTAAAAAATTGACATAAATACCGCGCGTTTGGAGGCGGCTGTTCCGAAACTGTGGGTCAACCATCTCAACATCGACCACTGAGGTTTAATTTTCAGCGCAAAAGAAAATTAACTAGACAAAGTTTTTATCTCTTACATGTTGCTTTTAAACCGTTATCTATGCGTCAAATAAGATAATTGGAATAACGCAATAATCACAAAATAAACAATTCTAGATAAGAACGCGTCATTGAGCAGATGGTTCACAACTGTGTCTGAGAAGCAAGCAGTGTAAAATACAGCAAATTTTTAACTTGTTATCTAAATCGGTAAAGCAGTTACTAGATTAAAGTAGTTACTTTAGGCCATTCTTGACAGTGATAGATTCATTCGATAATTAAATCTCGAGTTCATAATGAACAATAGTTTGTAACTTCTAAGGCGGTGGTACCGACTGTATTTCGCTTCATGTGTAATACTAATTGACTTTGACAGAAACCATGTTATTGGTTTGAACACATTTCAATCTTGTTAGGTCAGTTGACCGTTTATTTTTCTCTTTTTTCATAGTATTTATGTTGTGTTTCACTATTACGAACCATATTCAGCAACTGAGTTTGTGGTAGAATCACTAAGTAACCCAGCCACACCCTCCAGTTCAACTTACGCAACGAACCGGCCGTTTTCACACTTTTCAAACCTTTCCAAAATAAATTGCATAATTAACAACCTGCTATTTCAATGAAAGGCCATAAACTTTATCTTATTACATTCCAACTGTATTCGGGCAACTTTATTGAATCCACTTTGATTATTACTTTGGAGAATTATTTTTTTTCAATTAGTTAAGGTTTATGTCAAGGTCTTGGACCATAAAATATCTGAGTTTTCTTTCGAAACTTTCTGATGTCAGTATAACGGACACTAACATTTTACAGTGCGCGGAAACCGATCATGTCTGACCCTAAATATAATACTTAGTTAGACAAATACTGTGTTTAGCGGACTTTTAAAAGCAAAACCCGGTTAAGCTGCTTTATGCATGTACAGGAGTTTTAGCGTTGTATGTTGAGATTCAGATAACAGAAGACTTTTGCAATGCAAGGATTATTAAATGGCACAAACTAGGCGGAAAGCTTATAAGTGAAAAAAAACATTGCATTATATTTTTCGGCTTTCTTTTACAATTAGCTAACAAAATAAGTATGACAACTCTCTGATGCAAGGGTTTCTTGCTAGGACTAATTTTTCAAAAGTGTTTCAAATTGCGCATGTCTCTTGAGACATTTAAGTTTACCAAAAAATTATAAAAAACAGCTCTGAGTTGGGAAACTCGGATCCTTGAAAACTGCAGTCCACCTCAATTGATCTTGTGGTCTTAGGGATGAAATGGTCTGGCATTGGTTGAAACTTTAATTGGATAAATTGACGAACTGTTCATTTCGAAGTTTCAATCATGAATGATAACTAGACATATTTACTTAAAAACCAACCAACTGAAAAGTTCATTTCCTTGTTCCGTTCATCCGCTGAGTTGTCGAGTCCTCTCTGTTCGATATGCCACTGAAAGCTAATCAATTCAAGCAAGTATTTACTCGAAGAACTGCTAGATTAAATACTGTTTGTAATATTTGTGTTCCAATTCTGTGTCGCTTGGTTCACCTGCCATGCCTGGGTACGCTTAGTTTTTGTTTGTTTAAATGAATTTGTCGGCAACTTTATACTTGACCGCTTTGGAATCACAGGCTGGTATTTTATGAACCTCCTAATCCGTTTCGTGCAGGAGACGATCTACATGTTATAATCATTAAATGTTCCAAGATTATCAAGAGCCCTTTGTTCGAGTTGACAGGATCAAAAAAGACTAAAGGCTTGGGTGGGGCCCAACTTACTTTCACCTCGCAGACAAAATGAGAAACTGTATCGAACGGGAACGAACAAAACCTTAAAATATTATTTTCACAATTTAATTAATGAGGCACAATAGCCTAACCACTTTCATCAGTCGAGATGAGTTTTCATAGTCATGTTTTTAGCGTCACATCTAGTTACATGATTTGAAACTCGCTTCGCCAGTCATTCTGATCAAAGAAAACACTATTGATAAGAATCAAAACAGTCCTGCTGACCTAAGCAACACAATCTCTCTGGTTTTATTTCGACCAGAACAATTGAAAACTAAAAAAAACATAATTGGTGAAGCACAAATGCATGACAAAGCTTTTTGTAATCTATGTGCCGAGATGGACGAAATCACATTTGCCTTAAAAAACAATCAATAGCTACAGACGAAAATGCTACAAAATTTATCAGCTAGAGAGCTCTTCAACAGTTTGCGACCATAGTAGATTTTATGACGGCAAAGGATAATAGTATGAATATCACATCAATTCGTTTTATTCTGAGGATTATCAACCAGCCTCGAACTTCACTTCAAAACGGGACCTCAAGTATTGAAAATGACATGGTGCTGTACTTAAGCCAGCTTGTACGTAAAACAAAAGATTAAGTTGTACATACTGAATTGATACAAACGGGCGAACGAAACAAGTTACAACTGGTCAAGCCCGATCAATGGACACTGGTTTCATATGAATAAAGTCAAGTTTTTGTCAAGGAAAGTTATCTAGAACATTGCACCTACGAAGGTAATTAGCAAAATTTAAGCAAGAAGTTGGTCATTTATATATTCTGCCTTTCAGCGAACCCAAAAGATACCTTTTCTTGTGGCTAGTTCAAATCACACAGTTACAGATATTCATCTATAAGGATCGTGTATGGAAAAACATCAAATACATAAAAAAAATATTCAGTTGCTCGCGCTCAACTTGCTCGCTGGGCTGAGTAACAACAGCCCGGTCCAACTGACTGTTGAGAGGCGTTCGCCAAGTAACTGCACCAAAATATGTGCCACAACTGAACGGCGTTAACCGAAAGACAAACTTGTCACGATGGTTATGATAAGAGAACATGCGTTCAAACAAAAAAAGAGAAGGTACAACTAACTAAACTCACCTTACCTCACGGGTGAACAAACCAATGGATGTTTTCCAAGATTCATTTTTCTTCCTTTCTTTGCAGTCCTGGCCTTACATCTTTCAGTTGCGATGGCGTTGATTTAATAGCACAAACATGGCAGCAAACCGGAAAAGACCAAATGAGCGAAGTTTGCGATGTAATTAACAAAATGACATTAGTTTCTTTAAGCCCACATAAAATTTACCGAGAGTGTATCAATAAGTTTCAATAACTTGGGCCTGCCTGCATCAATAGACATCTGCCCTGGCTTTAATTAGATCTGTTAGCAGAGGTTTTGCAAAAGTTGTTACAACGCGTTTCAAATCTCTCTTTGAACTCTGCTTTCAAAAAATGTTTCTTTTTGTGAGAAATTTGTGGGGAAGAACTAAGATTAATTACAGACGTTTTTACTCGTCTGCAAACGGTGATGCTACTAATAAAAAGCTTGCTAATTAACTCTAATTGCCTGACTCGGAAAGTAATTCCAAGACATCGTACCGACTGCTTCGAGTTTTTCCTTTTTCTCTCAATTAACAATAATTTATTTTGTTTTTCTTAACCTAAGATATTGATTTTTGCCTGTTGTATAGTGCCATAGTATGCTTTCTGTCAGGTCCTGTAACGAATGGCCAGAAAATTGAGTGACTTTCGGTTTGAACGGAGAGAAAGCAGCAAATCGACTTCAATAAGAAGTGTTTTTCACATAGCACCTGCCATTTCATGCTGACAAACGTAAAAGCAAACTGTTTTGTGAAACGCCAGCGACGTTTTACTTCTGTGTGACTCCACAGGGTGTCCGCACGAGAGCTAATTTTCAAACACACCTCTTTTTTGTGACCATACAACTAAACACAAATTCAAAACATGTAGGATTTGTTTTAGGTAGCTGATTCACCTTGGCACCCAGTAATTAAGTTAATACACCAGTTACATTGATCTCAATTAATAATATGCCCGCTGAGAACAGTCATGTCAGGGCGGAAATAGCAGATTCAAAAACTTCTACTGCAGACTCGAAATGTAAAATGATTCAATATTTCAGTTAAATTATATGATGTTTCGACACTAAGGAAGACAATTTCAATAGTTTTTCTGTACAGTCAGTACCTGGTGAAAAGGATGTCAGATTTAAAATTTTAATTTTAATTTACACCAGAGAATAGTCAGCATGGTTAGATATAGTTGCCACCTCACAAACATGCAGGGCTGTAACACTGATTTTAAATAAATGAAGGATATTATTATTCTATTTCTCAGAATCATGATCAACTGATTTAATACTGAGATAGTCGATCTAGTCTTCTCTGTGATCAGTCCTTGTACTGAAACGAACTGTTTGCCTAGCCTCGTTCCCAAGGGGTTTTCCCATAGAGGGGAAAGACCTGGGAACGAGGTTGACTGTTTGACTTGATCAAGGAGCCTGGTGCTGCATGCGCGGTAATTCTGTATTGTATCTATACGGTTATGTGCGTTATGTAACCCTACACGTAATGAACCTCTATTGCTTTGCATTGGAATTTGAATCAGCCAATAGACCAATTTCTTATATTAAAATTCAGCCTAAAACAATAGACGTCAGTACGAGGCTCTGAGGAATAACTACAGAGTTTGTGGGGTTTATTCCTCAGAGCTTCCTACTAAGGTCTATTTTAATAGATCGAAATTGGTCTATTACACTAGTAGAATCTTCGTGATGGGAAGAGCTATTCAAACAACCGTGAACACTTTGATTTGATTCTGACAGGTCAATTGTGTTCTGACCAGTCACAATAAAGCTCAGGACACGCTTTAATTTCACAACTGCTAAAGTTGTGTGCATAACTGCGATGATCAATCATGTCTTTATATCTTTCTCCGCAGTTCAATTACGTGATCTTTCATATATTCATTTGCAAACATCAAAACCAGAAACAAAATTACCTTAAGTAATTGTATTTTTCCTTGTTACACAATAACATTACATAAATTTTCTGTTGTTCACGGTTTTCTAAGTTTCACCGTGAGACTATTAATGTTTGAACTTGTTAGTAAAAAATACTATACTGCACCCAGGCGTTCTGCAAACTTCTCAGTCTATTTGATCTTGTTTTCCTTGAATTTAGTCTCATATGGGAATTTACCAGATACATAACTTGCAAAAATATTTCGTACGTTAAAATTTCGGGCATTTTATTTCGGACTTTTAATTTTCAGACACTTTTTTTCTCATTTCGGACAAATTTCGGACCAAAATTTCGGCCACTTTGCTGAAAAGTAGCTAAAATAAATTTACGACTGCAAAACAAGAATTAGACTCAAAAAACATCTGTGAAATGATAGTTTTACTGCACCCTCAAGGTTTTACGAATACACAGGCAAGATAATAACACAAGTTCTATCAAGCTGTTACGTATGTCAAGTAGTGTCTCAACGTACTAGAGTTCGCTTCAGGATGAAATCCAATATCGCCTGAAGTGCGCCGGGACTGCCATTGAGACAGAAGAACCAACGTCAGTGTATTATCAGAGGCGAAAACAACTAGCATCGAGGCTAGCATCATCAACAGTCAACTCAGGTGGAGCGGCCATCTAGTACAAATGCCAGACCGACGTCTTCCCAAACAGATCATCTACTTTGAACAAGTAGAAGGCAAGCGTTCAAGAGAGGGCCAGAAGAAGCGCTTCAAAGATGTGCTGAAAGCGAACCTCAAGAAGTGTAGCATCAATGTAACTCTTTGTAACTCTATCCTGTTAGGTGCATAGCTCATTTTATCTATAATGTACCACACGCCTTTGGTCTGGTTTGTTTCTATAGTACAACCTCAAACTGAAATGACAATTATCTATTATATTTTTCTCTTTTTTTTTCTTTGCCCCTTGTTGTTACTGTATCGTGTAGATATTGTAACTTAAGTAGTGTAAATAATTAGAGCAATATAAATGTAAGTAGAGTACAGTGCTGTAAGTGGGCTAAAGATTGTACTGTTCGTAATTGTATTGTAAGTATTGTTTCCTTAGTGTTATTGCAAAATTAATTTAAAAGTCTCTTTGGGAGGAGACAACAAAGGACAGGCTTCTCTGGAGAACCACTATCAGCGACGGAACTGCAAGGCTTTCGAAGCGAGAAGATGTCAAGAGCTGGAAGAAAAACGAAGGCATAGGAAAGAGCGCCAACAACAACCACGGCCTGCTCTCCCGCACAGTACCAGTTGCCCAGAATGCGGCCGAGCCTTTCGGCCAAAAATCGGACTCATAAGCCATCTGCGGACACACCGCTGATCAATAAAGACTATCATCCTCGACCTAAACGAGGGATAGCCACAACGACGACGCGAGTTTGCTGTATATATAGATCCCTGCATAAAGGAAGATAAGAGCTTTGGATCTACTTCAAAGTGTTATACTGTACTGTAAATATTTCGGACGGTTTTGCATGACACTGCATGTGTAATTACGAGGTGTGCTAATCTTGAGCGAATCTTCTGACAGTTTATCTTTTTGCATTTGAACTTGAAAATGATGTCACGATGTCACCAAAACGTTCTTCTTTCTTATCGCTAATTTTTACTTGTTTATGCTTTAAAAAACCTTTGCTTACAAAGGTTTTATTTTCGGACACTTTTTTGGTGCAAAATTAAAATCGTCTCAAATTTTTTGCAAGGAATTTAGAGGCACTAGGAAATTTGCAATTTAAGGTTTGGACAGAAAACCTCGGAGCCATTTTGGAAACTATTGATCATTTTGTCTCGTTTGCATGTCAAATTAATCTACTAACGCGTGGCTCATATACCATGATGGCTAAGCCAATCGGAAAACTCTTGAATTGTGTTATCCAATGATCCAGTCTGTAATAAGAGTTATTATATAATCATTCTTTTTGAATTCTTCATTTTGTTACTTTTTTTTTTCAGTATAGGAAATGCCGACAAATTTTGCACCTTCCGGAAACATAAATAGGCCACTTTCGATACCGGTATTAAAATTCAGTTTGATAGTAAGGCCTAGAGGACACAAACAAAAGAAATGAATAAACATGGCCATTCGATTTCCTTTGTTTGTGTCCTCTAAGCCTCACTGCTATGCTGAATTTTAATATATCGAAAGTGGTCTATTGTAGTTGTGTCCAACCGACTATCTGAACGACTTACAGATCAATCGAGGTCATCAAGAATGGTGCGCTGTAAAACATCGAGGAAAAAAAAAACGTTCGACATGTTTGAGAAAATAGCATCAAACCACAGTGACAAGGCTTTTTTTAAATGAGCGCTAGTATAAAGTAATCAGTCGTGTAGTATGAAATGGATCACGGGGTAACTTCGACCCGAGCCTCAGTGGCCGCATGAAAACTTGGCAGACACACAGAGTGCAAGAAAAAGAAACTATTGTAAATTGCTGGTACAATATCACTGTACCGCACGGATTCGGAATTCACGTGTCACTTGAGCGGATTACATAATCATGAACTTACCTCGACCTGGGCTTAAGAATTCAAAGTTCCCATATGATTTGGCAGGTCCTCAAGTGTTTCCCTTTACAGCTAGGATTAAATTCAGGTACCCGAGTCCACTTTCCACCTTGTACGGACCATGTAGATGTCATAGGTAGCCAATTGACACGGGTTCTAACTTTATCAAAAGTACCAAAAATCCTTTGTTGTAAGTTTGTTTTGACCATTTTGCGTGACAGGCAACGTCTGTAAACCTATCTGGCACGAAAATGCCGGATCATAGACGGCCACGTGCTGCGAACATCTCGTGGCAACTTCTGCCTGATCACAGACACAAATACCGGGCATAACCTGGGATCATGCTTATTTTATTTTATTTTGTCCGGAGAGAGAAGCGTCTTCTCCGTAGGAGAGACATAGGAAATGAAGGCTTGATCACACGCTACCCAAACTAACGTCTAGAATCTTTTTCAACACCAGAACGACTAAGCGAAATTGAGGAGAACCCTCTCTGGAGCCATATTCTAAATAGGGACTATTCAACAAAAGATTTGCAGTCGTGCTCTTCTTGACTGAATTTTTCTGCACCAGAATTTTTCATGGTCAAAGAGAGAAAGTCCTGGGATTCAGATAACCGTGAGAGGAATTGTAAATGATGATAGTATAAATGCAAGGAGTGGGAACAGTCACGCTTTTGTGTTGAAATCTGGGACCCCGACACCGCGTCAGCTGGGACGGTCGGACGGTTCAAAGCGATCTTAAGGTAATTCGGGATTAGTGTCTACTTCGAACAAAAAGGCCAGCAACATAGATTCAAGTCAAATAAATTACAATGTTTATATATCAGATAATTATTTTAGATCCACACTCTGATTAACGTCTGTCAGTCAAACTTCATATTTCTATACACCCCCGCACCTCCCCCCACAGACCGAACATTTTAAACAGCACTGCGGAAACGAAAGCCAGTTCATGGAGCAAGTCTCTTCCCGTTGGAAAATATTGCACATTGCTTCTATAACGAAGAACTGCATCAGGTTAAGAGTATGAAACGAAATAAGAGCAAGACGGGAGCAACAAATCGAAAGATCACTTTTTCTGATGCGCATGCCTTGATTCCAACTTCTATCCTTCAGGAATTTTCTAATCCAGAGGTAAGCTTAAGTTTTTGTTCCTTGCACAAATCTCAAGGGAACAGGTTATAACTGGACAATATATGAACCGGACGTATTTCTGCTTGCTGTGCACAGAGCTCTCTTTCAATATCTTTTTGCGAATACATACGATAGTCAACAACTTAAGTTTCGCGAGTTCAGGAATATTTGCAGACAGATTATAACAAAAGATTTTTTACATAAGGTGATTTTCAAGTACCAGCAGCAAATTTAAGTTAACACGAGAAGTCTCGCCTGATCAAGCAACATAATTATTATCGGGGAATCTTAATCGTGGTTATATTTAACCTTATTAAACCCGGTTAAAAAGTCATCAAACTTTAATTTGCGAGCGAAACGTGACTAAGCTTCACGACTCGTAGAACTGCGCGTGTACACGAACAGACGGTGAGAACAAAATAGTCATTGACAAAAAATTAACATAAACAAAATAATAACTTATTATTCCGTGCAGCGACCAGTCGAAACGCAATCGAAACGGAGAAAACTGGGGAAGTCTTTGCTTACAAATCATGTTATGGACTTCAATTGCGTGTTTTTTCTGTCAAAAACTTTAGGAGTAGGCACCTAAATTTATGACTGAAGTACAAATAATAATGACAGTATTATCAATAACATCGACCGACAGTTTTCGTTCTAGACTTCTTAGGGAATGTTTAGAAATCAAACTTTAAACAGGAGCATAAGAGAAAAGAAAAAAATTACACATATGTGGCGAGTTCACGCTCAATAAAAACGTCGAACCAAGCCGACGTGACCCTCTCAACTAGACGCTTTCTTCTCCATTTTACAGTTCTGACCTAAAGCACGTTATTGGTTCTGTAGTGTTCAAGAGTTATCAACATCTGATTTCTCATTACGATAAAACAAAGGACACCACACTGAATTTCAATCCGCCAGGTGATCGAGAACAAGAAAGAAAAAGTCTTATATAATGCGAAGTTTTCAAATTGCTAGGATATAAATGGACTGCACTGGCAAAGGAGATAACTTTGAACATTGCGCCCTCTGAAAACAAGGTGAAAATACTCATCAGAGAAGTCCAGTTTAAAACGTTACCCGTAGGAAAACCAGTAATAGACGGCGGCAACCGAAAAAAGAACTACCTATTTTCACTTCCGTTGCGTTTTTTTACTTTCGAGTGGAATTTACTCACTTTTAGCTTGAGATCTGGTATTGTTCTTTTGAGTTAACGCATTTTCCCGCAAATTGAATATGATCTCAGCGAAGGGTTTGCCCAAAATCAATTTTAACAACGCCTGTGTGTGGGCGAGGCGATGTGCGGCGAGGCGCGGCGAAGCATTACGTGTATGATGCCAGTTTGTTATGTAAGGGATATTTTCAATTAGAGCGAATTCAGAAAATAATGTGGTTATGAAAATGCTGCCGTTGCTTCTTTGATGTCCGTGTGCGTGACCTTGGTCCAAAAGAGAATTATCCGGTTTGTTGTTGTCACGAATGGCCAACGAACCTGATTTCTCTATCACGTGGCCTCTATTTTGGCCTTGGCTGGAACGTAAACAAACCTTGTCCGTTTCGCGGGACAAAGTTCGTTTTCAGCCTCTGACTACACGTGAAAACAGTTTGATTCACGCGCCGTTCACATGAATAAAGCGTTCTGATTGGTTGATTTTACCGGAAGTACATTGTGATTGGTCCAACCCCTTCAACGCCCTCTGTACTGCATGATCTTCATTGCTGACCTAAGTTCAACCAACACAAAACGATAACAAAAATCCCTTCGCTCTCCATAGTTCTCAGAGTTTTTACACGAATATTATAGAGTCATGTACGCTCTTCCTATGTCTCCTCCTTCAACGCCTTCGTCGTCGTGTAAAGAGATGGAAGTAAGTGAGATCGGTTTAGGAGTGTTTAACCCAGAAGGTTTTCATTCACTTAAGCTTATCATTTACGCTCTTTTGCGTTTACTTCAGGAGGACTCCAGTTCTGTGCTTTCGGATGGTGAGTGTCAAAGTGAAACGACAGAGAATGTCGACTTAGATGCTGTGCAGTCACTTCTCGCTATGAGTCAGTGGTCGCCCCCTTACGCAGAAAGAAACACCCCAAGCCCCGACTCTGGTCTTTCTTCTATTAGCAGAAATTCGTCGAGCGCATCACTGAGTAGTACCACTTCCGTCGAGGATGAACCAGAGAAGGTGAGAAGTTAAAAAAAAAAGCGATTGCGTTCGCCCCAGTGTAGGTTAGGATATTTTTTTCTCTCTTGATGTATTTGTCGTTTATTCAGTTCGTTTTTTTCCCCACACAGTTCGATAACAAAGTGATTCAAACGACAGTCGAGCAACCAATTCCTCGTGGGAACAGTGGACTTTGTACAACTGCTGGGAGCGGGTGTTTGGGAGCGATTTCTACCACGACTGCACCATCAGCTACAGTGTCTGGATTGCCTGTAAAGGTCTTTCAAGGAGGAGTTAATGTGAATCAAGTTTTGCTCACAAACGGCGGAGGAAATCTGCCAGCCGGCGCTGTAGTTGTACTTTGCCCCGTGGCCACAAACGGAACTCCAGCGGGAGTCAGCAACATTTCCCAGTTACAGCAGAGAAATTTTATCGTTACTCAGGCAGGACTTCTTCCTCAGCTTCAAGGCCAGAATCAACAGGAAAGCGAAGGTGCAAAGAGCCAGACCAATCGCCGAAGAAATCATGTTTGCTCGTTTGAAAACTGTGGAAAAACTTACTTCAAAAGTTCCCACTTGAAAGCTCACATGAGAACACATACAGGTATTTACTAAAAGCATCTTTCTTACTTGAATAATGTTAAAAGTTGGGCTTTTTCTGTTAGAGTAACTTTATTTAGTGAAATCCCTTTTTTAGTTCTAGGTAAATTGTCAGGGCCGTTCCTGATATCGCGGGATTTTGTCTTTATTCAGGTTTCATGACCAGCCCTGTACACTCCTATGTCGTGCCTGTCATACACCCACAATTGACACATCACGTGAAACAAAGCGCGTGCTGCGTGATGGGCAAAACTCTTCGCGCGTGTAGAAATAAGTCAAAAAATTACTGTTTTCGTGTATAAAGGAAATCAATTAGCAATTTATCGAAAGATTCTGCTTTCTTTCTTTTATTATCAATTTTTGTTCAATTTTTGTTTATTTTTTGTCCTTGGAGTTTCTTATGTAATACTGTTTCTTCATTTGGTGTTGAATTTCTTCGTGGTTCACATAGTTCAAATTTTTTGTTTATGGTACTTCAGGCCTAAACCCCTTAGGAAATAAAGCAGTAGCATTTTATCTGTAAATTAATCATTAATAAATTTTATATGTATCTTTTTAGGAGAGAAACCATTTCCTTGCACGTGGGAAAACTGTGACAGGCGTTTCGCAAGATCTGATGAGCTGGCGAGACACAGGCGAACTCACACTGGAGAAAAGCGCTTTGCTTGCCCTCTCTGTGGACGGCGGTTTATGAGGTCAGATCATTTGACCAAGCATGCAAGAAGACATATGACAGTCAAAAAAGTTCCAGGGTGGCAATTGGAAATGAATAAATTGAACCAGGTGGCTACAAACATGCAGCCAACATCTCTAAATGTCTCCAGTGGCAATGTTATAAACACACAGCCTATTCAGATCACAAGCAACTCTTTGCCAAGCATGGTGTTAGCCCCGTCAAGTATGAGTACAACAACACACACATCGGGAACTCTGTCGGGGAATTCATAGTAACTTGATGCTGAAGTTCAGAGTAGAGCTTTCAGAAAGGGCCACCAGCTTATGGAAATAGACAAATGCATTGGCATGGTGAAGTATGCAATATCATTACTACCAAGCAAGTAAATGAACTGTGTCGGACCAGTATGAAGGACAATGCTAGTGTAATATTAATACATGTTGCATCAGCCTTTCCCAAAGGCTAGTTCACAGTGTTAAAAATAATTTTTTGGTCCTGTTTTATCTAAAAAAAGTGTCAAAGTTTTATTTCCAATCTGATCCCCAGCCAGGAAACCACCATGACCTCATTTTTTTTTGTGTGTGTATGTCTTATTGGAAGCCATTCTTTGCATTTTTCTGTGAATCTTAAAAATAGTGACCTGTACTTAAGTGTGATTAGAGCTCTGGAGAGATGTGTTCTGACAAGTTCCAAAGAAGAGTTAATTTATTCATTGTAAATATAAATGTTCATATTCAGTTGTGCAATGTTCAGTTATCTTCAGAGTTTGGCCGTATTTCTTGATACTGCCTTATTGTGATAGCAATGTGTGCTTATAAATTGATAAAAAATATTAAGGCAAATGCAATAAGTGTAAATAAGCTTACTAGTTAACTTCCTTTTGCTATGCTTAACATTCAAAATGTTTAAGTTTACAATTTAATGATTAATATAAATTATAGGCGTTACACGTATACATATTTTCCTGCAAAGAAACACTACAGGTAGTTAAATTTGTGTAACATTCTGTAATTGGGAGTTCTTGTAGTTTTACTGTTTTGTTGTTTATATTACGTCAAAGGTGCAGTCTACCTGAAAACTAATATTGCAATAGTTATTAATATAAAAAATTAAGACAAAAGATTTCACAGAGAAGTGTAGCAATCTGTTTATCTGCTCATCATTTTGAATATCTGACGAATTTCATACACATAAATTATTTGCAACCCACATTTAGTAAGAGAATATTCCATTGACTATTAAAGACATTGCCTATGTAAATATGAAGAAAATAATTTATACTTTTTTAACGCATCTTCATGCCCAGCAATGTTGTAAATAAAGTGCTTTATTAAAAGAATTTTCTGTTCGAAATGATGCTATTAATGATTCCTTGAGTACGTGCGAACCGTTCCCCGACGGCCTTGCAGTTAATTCATTTATTATCCGTAGGGGCTTGTTTGAGTGTTCTGGAAAGTTCTTTTCAAGCCCACTCGCTTACTCGATTTAATATGTGTAAAACTTGTGACAACTAGGTTGACCGCGTATTTTTATACTTGAAGGCATTATTGTCGTTTCAACACAATTGCACGCGATGTAGAGTCCCCTCAAACAATGTGGGAAAGTTGCCCTTTTGATGAGCTCCTTCCTAAGAGGACATCTGATCTTATGCTGTTCCCGCCCGCGGAAGAAAACACCACTCGTAAAATTCATACGAAACCACGTTCAGCTCCACGTTCGGGACCCGATTGGCGTATTTTGCACGTCCTCACTCCTAGTGTGGATATTGATGACGTTTTCCACCTTCCAAACCGCCAGTGAAGATTCGCAATAAAAAGACAACTACATGGCTTAAAGATATGAATTTCATTTTCTCGTGATAAAAATAATATTTTACTTACGCGCTATACTACGCTCGTTTGTAAAATGTTGTTCTGTATCTCTAGTCTTCGCGTAGCCACACTTCCGCAGCACATTTCTTTGGTCGCTGAAAAAGAAACCTCACTACGGTGACTGACAGGCAGACAGCTGGTGCAAGGAATTACGGTCACTCCGCCCCACGGTCATTTCGCCCTCAGTCACTTCGCCAATTTCACCAAGAGTCCCGATAATTTTGCGATTTAAGAACTCGCACTCGTTTGCTTGCTTACATAAAATATCCTGCAAATATCCAATTAAATAGACTAAAAAGCCCCAGGATCTACTCTCCAGCTCTTCATGTCTAAGGCTACTGTTATTGTCTGCTTTACAACTTTGAGATGTCCTTAAGATGTTTTTTGGGGGCTTCGAACAGTATTCTCTTCTCCCACAATCACTCTAAATTTTCAGCGCGGCATGAGAGTAATACAACCAGTGACGTCACTAGGGTAACCCGAAAGCACTGACCCCCGGTCCGCGGACCCCCACTACGGACCGGGTCCGCGAACCACCTATGGACCGGTCCACGGACTACCCCTACGGACCCCCCTACGGACCACCCCCCAAATTAGAATGGAAAAAAAAAAGGAAATAAATATTTCAGTTATGGGTTGTCTATTCGTGTCGGCGAAATTTCAAACTTTACATTTTGCAAATTCAACGTTCGTGGGGTTCAAGCTCGGGCGCAAGTTGTATCATTACACATTGTCATTTCCTTTGCCGTGGCCATACTGTATATGAAAGACAGTGAAAGTCTCCAGCAAGTCTCCAGGAAGCCTCCGGGAAGCCTCGGAATTTGTGCTCTTTCCCCTCCACCATTTTGTTCAGCCCATTCTCACGTGGATTCGTGAACTCGCCTTCCAGGCTTCACAATTTGCTCAGCGCAGTTACAGATACAAACAAGCTTGAACGACCTAAAAACTCATCTTCCATAGTCAGATTGAGCGACGAATGCAATGTAACAATTTTCCTTCTTTTTGCCATCGGCATCTCCTCACGCTGAATAAAGCTTATAGGCTTTTTTTCCGGGGGGCGGGGGGAAGAAGGGTGTCAATTACATTTGCACAGTGTAATGCTCGAAAATTCGCCGAGACGAGTAATCCATTAGACATCCCATGAGTGAAGTATTTATTTCTAGTTTTTATTATATTTTTGGGGGGTGGTCCGTAGAGGGGGTCCGTAGGGGTAGTCCGTGGACCGGTCTATAGGTAGTCCGCGGACCCGGTCCGTAGTGGGGGTCCGCGGACCGGGGGTCAGTGTTTTCGGGTTACCCGACGTCACTAGGCTGTTTTGGCCGCCCCAAGATGGCTGCCAATTTTGGGCTTAAACAGCCAACTTCGAACGGCTGAAAAAGCAGTTTTCGCTAACCGTATGCGGAAAAAAAGTCTGCAGTGTTTCCAAGTATGGTTGAATCTTTATTAATAAGCAAAATCTCACATACAAAAATTTCGTTTCAGTAGCACGTGAAACAACGCGCGTAAAGCCGTTGATGGTTTCCAAAGTTTTTCAAATACGATCGGCCATCGATCGATCAACGGACTTTGTTTGACTTCGTTGCTGTGTAAGTGCTACAAGTAAATGCTAAACAACGCGCGTAATCAAACAAAGATATTTAGATTTAATAGTTCTTTAACTACGCCAAGGTCAAATATAACAGAAAAGGTTTTACAGGCGGTTGACACTTTACAGGGTAAACGCCGTTGGATGGTTTTCAAAATTTTTTACATACGATCGGCCATCGATCGATCAACGGACTTTGTTTGACTTTGCTGCTATGTGAGTGCTACAAGTGAACACTAAACAACGCGCGTAATCAAACAAAGAGATTTAGATACTTAGAGACAATCGCACTTTAACTACGCCAAGATCTCGGTCGCTTTTTAAGTCCTTTAACTACGAACATGTTTAACAAAAAGGTTTTTACATGCAATCCATACTCTACAGGGTTACAGTTTTGAAATTTGATCGGCCATCGATCAACGAGCGCGAATTACCAACGAGAGCGTCAGCGACATTGGCAGACACATCGGCATGGTGTGGGGGACAGAGAGAGATTGGGGCGAGTGAAACTAACAATTACAAACATGTCATCAACATCGGGACGACTATAACATCAGTTAGGCAAATAGAGACAATATTGTAAGCATATATACACTTAAATTATATCATGGAGCGAAGTAACTCCTGTATGGGGCGAAGTGACTCTTGTATGGGGCGAAGTTACTTCGATTATGGGGCGAAGTGACTTTTGGTTGGGGCGAGGTGACTGGGGGCGAAATGACCATGGGGCGAAGTGACCGGATACCGGTGCAAGTCCTAGAGAGAGACCATCATGTAAAAATATAATAAACATCTTTGCCACAAGAAAACTTTTTGAGATGGTCAGCGCTAAACTCCGTAGTAGATGGTAGTAGGTAACATTTTCGACTGTATTTTCGTGTTCCTATCGTCAAGTTATGGTTCGTGATAAAGACACGTGAGTGCAAGTTTGAAGAGTCTTTGAACGAACAAAGATGCAGTGGTAACACGGGGTCAGGCAAGTGTTTCAGTTCAACTGCAGTTTGTTGCATAGTCCAACCACTTGTAGGCAATACTGCCTAATAAAAGGGTAAAGATCTTACAGCTTGAACAGTCCTACTTGGGTACGGTTCATAATTTATGTAGGGGGGAAGAGGGAGGCTTTGATGATTTTATCAGATTATTTCTTGGAAGCACTATAGTTTGATGTCCTCAAACTAGCGCTTGTCTTGAAAGATCTAAGGCATTTTCAAAATGCACCTGGAAGAGAATATACCTGGGTACAACTATTTTGTACATAACTGCGCTATGACGTCGGAGAAGTTTTTATCGCATTTGTTCAGGATTCATGTACATCGAAAGTGAGAGTAACGGTATTCAACTGGTATACCATGATGGGCAGAATATCACAAAATTCTGAAGATTAAGTTACCTAATTTTTTTAATTACTTGTTTGCATGGAAAACTGCAACTACTCATCAGTGACGTCTGCTAGAAGCACAAATCCAAAAATCCTTTTATTGATGGAAAGATTGACATTTTGAAACCTGAAGAACAAACGAAATAGTCTATTGTCCAGACAGAAACCTTCAACATAGGAAGTGGAAGAAGGGCAAGAACAACTTGACTGTTCTTTAGTATTCTTTCTTATGCTGTAATTTGGAAATTTTCGAAAACCACCCTTCCTCCGGGCTACCCTACCCCAAAAGCTATCGTAAAACAATCATGACCCTCTTCGGACGTTTCCCTTTCATTCCTATTTTTTCGTTCCATTTACTCCGCTTACGTAATAGAAGTGCAAGAAAAACTAGCCAATCATCATGAAGTTCTCACATGGTCTGTCGAGCGCCCTCAGAGGCACGGTCTTGTTCTAAGTGAGTGTGTTCATGTTGGGGAGTCTGTCCGTTTTCACTATTTTTCGTAAAGATTTCAAGGTAAAACAGTCACCATTCCGCGTTTAAAAGAGGGAAGAGTTGTCTGCTGCGAGCCTGCGGTGAAGGTGAGTCGTTTTCTCCGTCAAATTAAGTCGATTTTCTAGTAGTTTCGTACGTCGAAAGCCATGTTGACTGAAACAATGGCGGTTCTATCAAACTTTCTCTCGCGTATTTTAGGGCGGCCACACTGCGAAGATCTACTCTAACTGTCCAGAAGCTGACTTCCTGAAGAAGGAAAAGTTCGAATTTACCTTCAACGTGGATTCCGACCCAAGCTAGCGTTTGCTAAGGGTGTATTGGTAATAAAAGTTGTGTAAGTATAGAAACCAAGCTTGAATCCCCTCAACAACATTAAGTGTACAAAGTCCTGCAGTAGTTTACACCTTGCAAAAGAAGCGAAATAACTCGAAGTAGATTTTACGTGGCAGAAGCAGTTGTGGTGTAATTATATCATATGCCAATAAGGACACAGCCGTGTCATGCCAGTAGATATTCTCAACGTGTCAGTTAAAGCTTACATGTGTTAATTTGTCTGCAAGTGCAGTTTGTATATTGTACTGTTTAACTTTTATGCCAGTCTTCGTGAATTAGTAATAAATCTTGGTCTAAAACAGTTTTATTTTTGGATGATAGTTTATAACTTATCATTTCAATGATCTTCCGTGGATAGTGCTTCGGATTTTCTGCCTTGGATAAAACAAGACAAACACTTTGAGGGTTGCCAGTGCCAAAGGCTCATTTCATCGGACGTATTTTTTTGATAGACTTAACATTTTATTGCTGTCAGTCCTGACCATATCATACATGAAATAAGATGCACTTCAACACATTACAGCCATGTACTTGTCAACTGTTCAGGGGCAGCTTTGATGTGCTAAAAATCTTCTTGGGAACAAGCGTTGGTGCTCATGGCAAAGACAAGGGGACAAGGGGACAAAAATTCTGGTATTAATTTCTGGAAACTTTCCTGAAACTTTTAGTGCAACTAACTTCCCAGATTTTGTTTGCTTAAATAAATTTCCTAGTTTTTCTGATCACTGCTGTGAAAAAATTATTGTAGTGGCTATTTTCAGAAATTTTCTATGAATTTTTAAAGTTTGTATAATTGACCTTTTCCACAGCCACGACCGAGAAATAGCGAAGAATGGGACAAGTTGGTCTCTGATGTTATTGAAAGAGTGACAGTGTTTTGGTTCTGAGTAGAATATATGCATATGCATTTAGCGTGTGCAAAAAGGACTTTTAAAACAAGAGAACAGTGAAAGAGAAGTGTAATCATTTAACTGATACCATACTGAACCTTTTGTCAAGATCATGTCGAAGGATTTGTAAAGAGACTTTCTTTAACAAGGGTGACACTTAATAGCAAATAAAAGCTAACAAACATGTGGCCCTCCGAAATTACGATAAATTACAATAATTCATTACTAGTGTGAAAAATGCAGATATGTGTAACTTGCAATGTTTATGCTCGTACACACTAATTGACCATTCATATATATGGTTGGGTGACAATAATGAAGCGAAAAGACAAATTTTTCTGCGCTTTTGAATAATTAACAGACAAATATGCTCTCATTGTTATGAACTGTCAAGGGTTCTATAAGAGTATTTAAAGAAGCGTTGTATGTAGATTAGTTCTCTTGGTGTTGT